ATTAATGACAGCTGTTATGGAGTGGCGCCGCCAAAGGCTTGTAAGAAAAATGAAGCCTTGCATTTATTTAAAAAAAGAAAATACAGCAACGCCAAGAGTGACAGAAATGGATTATCATCACATCCTCCTGCCAAATTCGGGGGTTCAGAATGAAAGATTAAATTTGAACGTCATCTCTTAGACAGTCATCCCTGTAAGTGGAACTATTGTTACAATTGTGCTAATGAGCTAAGGTTTTGTCTTGTTTGTAGCTCCACAACTCTGCTGCACTGCTGGTTTTCCTGCTGAAGTATGATTTCATTTCATGACATCTCTATAAGCAAGAGCTACCACTCCCCATTTACAAGATAAGAAGACAAAGCCCAAGGTTGTACAACCCTTATAAGAGTCATTAACCCAATTAGACTGTTCTACTTACCTTTCTTTCCTTCCTTCCTTCCTTCCTTCCTTCCTTCCTTCTCCTTCCTTCCTGCCTGCCTTCCAATGAGAAGTATTACTATATTACTATCTATCATAAAAATTACTGTCCATCATATTTAAGAACACACAAATCCAGCTCAAGCTTTCTAAGCGTGCTCTTCTATTACATGGACTAACATCACAGAAAAAGTTATTTCAAAATAAACCGGATGGGGTGGTCAAGAGTGGTTGCTCATTCCAGTAATATCAGCTACTCTGGAGGGAGAGATTGGGAAGATTTCAGCCAGAGGCAATCCCAGGCAAATATGTTAGATTACATCAGTAAGCTGGTCCTGGTAGTGCACGTGAATGCCTGTCATCTCAGATAAACAAGAGGCATATATGTAGGAGTCTGAGATAGGCCTAGGGAAAAAGTACAAGAACCTTGAAATATAAAAGCAAAAAAGGGGTAAGTATGTAGAAGACAGCCTGTCTAGCAATTTTGAGGCCTGAGTTCAAGACTCAGTACAACGAAATATATGTGTGTGCGTATGTGTTTATGTATATATATATATATATATATATATATAATAAATATATTTTCAAAATCAACATGTTGTCTTTGAGAAAGATTAAAAAATATATGAGTATACATATATGTATATATACACACATACAGAAATATATACCTATATAGCGTGTATATGTATATTAAATTGCCTTTTAAAAACATTGAAAAAATATAGATATGTGTGTACATGTGTGTATGTATACATACATACCTATATAGATACCTATATGTATTTTCAATGTTTTTCAAAGACAATTTTAGTCTTGATGGGAATTCGCTCCTTATTGGTGACTGCTGTAAATATGTGTGGAAATGAGCCAAAAACAGGATGCTATTAAACAGTTCACTTTAAGAGATGGCCTCAAGAATCACCAAGTATTTTTAAAGGCTGGCTAATGCTGCGATCCGAAACAAGTAATTGTAGTGTCTTTACCTAAAGTCCTTAAGACTGATGAGGGCAACCCCAGCAGATGTCTGAGTCCACAAGCAGTGGGAACACGGGTAGGGTTTGAGGGAAGGGCAAAGGCAGTATGGCCAGTTGCACTCCAAACTCAAGCCCGAACAGGCTGTCAGAGGAGGCTGGACTTTGATATTGTGGGTTTTACAGTCAGGCTCAAGTTTCATGCTGCTTCAGGAAACAATGGAGCACCTGTCTCCAGGCAGGGGGAATAAAAGATTAACACAGCAACAAAAGGAAAGCCTACAAATATGTCCCATTGTGGCAAAACGTGACCCTGTGTGGATGCCTTCACAGTGAGCCTGCTAACATTTGTGGGCCCTCGGAAAGTACTTTGTTTTTGTTCTTGGGTAGAGAAGTAAGTTTTGTGCAAATTGATTCCAACAGTTTACTGATAACTAGTCTGGGGCGGGGGTGGGGGGGTGGGGGGGTGGAGGAAGATGTTGGTGTTTATTCCAGAACAGAGGTTTAAAAAGAGAATTTATTGGCTTATATAACTGAGGGAGGTGCTGGATGAGGCACAGCTGAATTAGGGGCCTACACATCTATTTTTTCCTCTATCTAATCCTTTAGATTATTTCCTTACGGTGACTGGACAAACATCTCTACCTTCATAGTCATAGTTCCAAACCACAGACCTGGGTTTAACTTCCTTTGAAGGGGAATTGGGTTATGTTCCTAAGCGGATAACTGTGGCAAGAAACAGAAATGCAGTGATCTGCCTGGCCATGATTGAACCACATGACCAGCTCTGGAGGTGGGGTTGCTATGGTGTTAGTGTTTTTGTATTCTCCAAAGCTTAGGTTGAAACTTAATCCAATGCAATGGTGTTGGGAGGAGGGGCCTTGTAGAAGGAATTTAGCAATGGTAGAGAATTAGTATCACTATAAGGGGTTGTAGGAGTAGGCTCTCTCCCCCCTCTCTCCCCCTTCTCTCTGTCTCTCTCTCTCTTTCTCTCTGTCCTTGTCCACCCTTCTCCTGCATGTAGGGACAGGGTTCCTTCTATCTGTGGGATCAGTAATCAAAGTGTCATCTTGGAAGTAGAGACCAGGCCCTTTCCAGAAACCAAATGCACTGTTGCCTTGATCTTGGGCTTTTCCTGCTTCCAGAATTGTGAGAAACTTCTGTTCTCTATAAATGATCCAGCCTCAATTATTTTGTTGGAGCATCAAAAAACAAGCTAAGATAATGATAGGGTCAATACCAGCTAAACAGGTGTTTTTTGAGCTCCTTGCAATTGACTGTATAGAATTCTTCTTGACAGGACTATAGCCATCCTGACCCCAGTTCCATACACCTACCAGATGACCCTGCTATCAAGCCACAATCTTATCAAAGACTTTAAGATAGATAAGAGTTGGACCGGGCACCCATTCTGATTTTTAACTAACATTAGACAAGTTAATAGCATGAGAATGAGAACAGCCAGATACATTCTGTGGGCTATAGCCCACTTTTGTCTAGTTTGGCAAAAAAATACCTGTTTCTTGCCTTGGGATTTGAGGACGCTTGTTCCTGTGGCTGCTCAAATGTTTCTGTCCTTAAGTCCCAACTAACTTGTTCCTGTGGCTGCTCAACTGTTTCTGTCCTTAAGTCCCCACTACTTTGTATTTTATGTAACCCTAGAGTTGTCTGCCTTTTAGCCCCTCACTCTTCCATCTTTGATGGCAGGTTCTTGTGGTGGTGGTGGTTGTTTTGGTGCCTGTCCCATGGCTTGAACTCAGAGTCTGGCCACTGTCCCTGAACTCTTCTTATGCTCAAGGCTAACGTTCTACTACTTGAGCCAAAGCTGTACTTTGAGCTTTTTGGTGGCTAACTATAGGGAAGAGTCTCACAGGCTGTCTTGCCCAGACTAGCTTTGAACTGTGACCCTCAAATCTCAGTGTCCCTGGTGGTTAGGATTACAGGCGAGAGCCATCAACACCCAGCTGATGGCAGGTTCTTTCTTATACACCACTCTGACACAATGTTTTGCTTTGTTTTGTTTTGTTATTTCCAAGTACACATTGACTCTTGATCCAACAAGATAAATTGCTGTTGGTGTTAAGGTATAAAATGGTAAAGAAGCTTTGTCTTAGTCCATTTTCCTTTGCTGTAACACACTGGGTTAATATAGAAAAAGATGTTTGTTTTGATAACAGTTTGAGAGGCTAGGAGATTTTAAGATTGGGTGCCAAGATATTTGGCTTCTGGTGGCCACATGTTCTCCATGCATGGTAGAAAGTGGAAGGACATGTAGATGTGTCCAAACAGGTGGGATAAGAGGAGCTGAGTGCTTTGCAACAGCTAACCTACTCTCAAAGGAACTACATTTAGCTCATGGAAGAGGAGCTTCCACTGAGGAATTAAGTTTCCAACATGCATGGTTGAGGACAAGCAATATTCAAACCTGATGTTTTTAAATGCTTGCTTGAATTTTGGCTGATTACCATGCTTCAGCAGCATTTATGGTGGACTATCCCTGATATTGTAAGTAAATCTAAACCATATCAACTAGGAGAGATAGTTCCCTTCCAGGGAAGAAAGCCTTGGAAAGGTATTGCCAGGTGAGGTGTGGTTAGTTCTATGAATAATGTTAGTCTGAAAAGGAATGGATTCTCCCATTTGCACATCAGTCCAGGCAGGTCAGGCATAATGCTTTAGCAACAGTGATGATTTGAGCTGGCTTTAGACAGCTGACATTCACAATCAGGTATTAAAACTGTCCCAGAAGCCTGATTGGGTAAGGGAGGTTATTCTGACATAGTTTTAGTTATTGATTTGGGGAGAGGAACTTGCTAGCATTTTTTGTATGACTTACAAAGAGTAAAAACAACTGTTGGCTGAACCAGTGCACATAGAGATTTAGAAGGACATAGAAATGGAGATCACAGCCGTGTGTGTGTGTGAGAGAGAGAGAGAGAGAGAGAGAGAGAAAGAGAGAGAGAGAGAGAGAGGTGGTGATGGCGAGGCACCATGCATGTAGTTCCTAGTCGAAGACTCAGCTGTGCATGCTTGATGGGGAGAACTCTAGCAGGCAAATGTAAAACTTGCTTTTGTAAGACAACATGCTTGCTTTCTCCCTACCAAGTGTCAGTTTGTACATGTTACATGTTAAATGTTCAGAATTCAGTGTTGTTCCAGTGAATTGCATGTATGTAGTTAAAAAAAAAAACAACTAAAGCACCAGAGTGTAAATATCTCCAGCTAATTTTTTGTTTTAAATGGTCACTAAAGACTGGAGGTGTTGGGGGGGGTGATATTTGCCTTTCTACTCCCCACACTTTTTAACTCCTGTGGGTTCTAACAGCATTGTTGGCTTTGTGCTTGGCAACCTGTACTGTTTCATTGAATGTCAGTCCTTCGTCTTCTGTGGGGAAAGAAGCCTTGTGCAGAACAAGGCAGTTTCCTAATTAAAGCTGCAATTGACAAAAGTGGAGGTTATTTTGGAGAAACACTGGCCTTTGAAAGATATAGTTTGAGTGATTCATAAAGGAACAAGATTTGCAGATGCTTCCTGGGTTAAAAGAGCCCTCTGGAGGGCTTGTAAAACAAGCACAGGGGACCTGGCTAAGGGATTCTTTGTTCCCACAGAATGCCTGTCTGGGGAGGTGGAAATAAGTGTGGGGCCTGCGGGAGGACCGTGTACCATGCAGAAGAGGTGCAGTGCGACGGCAGGAGCTTCCACCGCTGCTGCTTTCTGTGCAGTGAGTATCGCGCTAGCCCTGGAGAGGCCTTTGTCGAAACTTATGCGTAAAAAGCTGAATTCACCTCTTTTTTCTTTTCCTGTCGGGGATGGGGCTTGAACTCAGGGCCTGAGCACTGTCCCTGCGCTGTTGTTCTTTACAACTAGAGCCATATCTAGAGTTTAGGCTTTTTGTTGGTTAATTGGAAATAGGAGTTTCACAAATTTTCCTGCCTGGGCTGGTTTTAAACTGTGATGCTCAGATTTTAGCCTCCTGTGTATCTAGGATTATAGGTGTGAGTCACTTGGTCCTATTTAGTCCTTTTTTGTCTCAGATCTTGTTAAACTCTGAAATACATTTTGCAACATTTGCAGAGTAAGTCCTATGTTTCCGTAATAGCTACTGCTTCTCAGACAAGCTTGCTTAGCCATTCTGTCTTTTAGTAGTGAGTAACTGGTTTTGGTTTGCCTTTTGCTTTTTGTTTTCCTTAAGGTATCTTGTTCACCAGGCTTGGAAACAAGAAAGTGTGGAGACAACCAGATGATTCTGGCTTTCCTGTTAAAGCTGTGATGGCTGTACCACACTAAAGTCAGTGTTTGCTAAGACCTTAGGTTCTTCACTTAGTTTTACTATTTCTTCCTACTATTTGGCTTTGCTGACTCAAATCTAAGTAGCTTACAGCTCTATGAACGTTAACTGCAGAGAACAGCAATGAGGGATGGGGAAACAGGGTTATTTTTTAGGAAAGTTTCCTGTATGTACATGTGCCCACACTGCAGGTTTTTGAAAAGACTTCTTTTTAGAGAATTTGTTCTTTAGTAGTGTTTCGTTTTGAATTAGCCGTTTTTAAGCAACCATATGTCAGTGCTTGAGGCTCAACAGTTGGCTCCTCAGTAGATGTTGTTTATTCTATTAGAGAAGACTTTAAGACACTAGAAACCCCCTAACTTAATTCTACATCCTCCCCCATTTCCATTTTTTAAATTTTGTCTTCCTACCTTTTTTAAACTTTTTTACTATCACACTAATCTTTACTTTTTAGCTGCCTGATTCCAGTAGATTTCCCTCACAATTTACTTTTTTTCTCAAGACTAAATGAAGTTTTAGAAAGTGAAATAATGTCTGGATAAATGATGACACTTGGCAGTTTTATGAAGTGGGATATGTAGAAATGTCTTGTGGCAAGAAATTCACCAAGAAGGAATGCATTCCCTTTTGAGACAAAGGGAAAACAAATGCAGACTTCAAGCTTCTTGATGATTTTCAGACACATTTATTTAGCACTGCTGGAGAAGCTAGAGGGGAGAAGAGAGATTAATCCTGGTGAAAACTAGAATTTAGGTTATAACTGTTTTTATCCCAGGGAACACTTTTTGAAAGAAGAGATACAGTCAACTCCCCATGGTGCTCACCTCCCATTTTTCTCTTTGTCGGGTTGTGCTGTAACAATACTTGGTATGAAAGGCCTAAAAAGATAGTGTTAAAGATTGAGAGCAAGGATTTGAGGAATATGGCATTGCTAATTTTAGTCTTTCTTGCATATAAGTATATAGTATCTTTCTTATCAAGGAGGGAGATCATTTGGAAAAGTTTGACTTAAGATGTTGAAATTATGGATTTTTTAAATAAACCTCAGGTGTAGCTGACCAGCCTAGATACCGTCTCATGGCTTCTGGGAAACCATAGGCCTAACTATGAACTATTGGGGGCTACAGTGGTTCTACACCCTTACTGGACTGTGTCTTAAGCTTCTTCCTATTTTAGTGGTTTGCAGGAAAAATTTAGATAGTACAACAGTGGCAATTCATGATGAAGAGATCTACTGCAAATCCTGCTATGGAAAAAAGTATGGGCCAAAAGGCTATGGATATGGCCAAGGTGCTGGCACACTCAACATGGACCGTGGTGAGAGGCTAGGCATAAAGCCAGAGAGGTAAGATAGGAGAATATTACCTCCAGAAATTAGTTATAACAATTAATGTTACTTGGTGGACAGGAACCTTAGTTTCCAGAATTTGAGCCTAAAGTAAGCAAACAAAATATGACTCAGTAAAATGTAAACTGCTGTTCAACTTGACAGTTTTGGACTTAACAATGTTCTTACCAATTAGTCCAGGGGTTTTAGACCTGGTTTGGTAGCTTTCAAGACAGATCAGTAGTCAGGATATTCTGAAAAACACTCAACGTAATTGTACTTGTATTTTGTACTTTGGGAACTCGATACTGTGCAATTAAAGGAGATGTATCTGAGTTGTGAAGCAATTAGTCAGTGGGAAATAGTCATTCTTTTCATGTAAGAATCATTCATCAAAAACTACTTTTCTCAAGCTTAAAACATATTATTTCCTGAATTTTTTTGAGGTATAAATATAAAACTTTAAAGGCTCCATTAAAAAGTTCTGGGTGTCACTCATTACCTTACTCATATAACTGTAACCCCTTTTTACAGTATCTTTAAACAATAGGTGTATATACTGGGAAAAAAAAGTTTTGGGTTTCAAACTTGTGCATTCTCAGTATTTCATGTTTAGGCTAAACTAATTTCTCCATATGAATTTCTTCCCATTTTCATATGTACAATTTTCATATACATTCTTTATTCAAGAAAGCAGGATTGGTGTAATATTCTCAAAGGAAGTGTCTTTCCTCGGACAAGCTGTGAATCTACACCAGACACATGCACTGTCAGCATATTAACTCTTATAATCACCACAGTGTTACAGGGCTGGGTTTCCTGTTTTGAAATTCAAGAATAAACTGAGAAAATAAGAATTAGGTAATTTGCCCTAAAGTTGCAGCTAATTATAGAACCTGGAACTTAACCTACCCTTAACCCTAAAGCTCGTGATGTAAAACACTCGGTATATTACAGCTAAAGTAGTAACTGGTATGTGGAATTTCCACTGTAGACAACTCTTTATTCTGTAGGGGTTGTCACTATTTTGTTCTTACAGATGAAGATACTTAGGATTAGGTCACAGAGGGAACCAAGATCTGTATTGTCTTTTTTCTTTCCAAACCTTAGGCTCTCTGCACTGTAAAGGGTGCTATATGAAGGCTTACCTGCCTTCTTTCAGAATGCTTTCTTCCCACTAAGGTCATAGTGCCTTATTGTGCACCAGTTGTACATGTGCCAGTTGTACATGTGCTCACCATCATTCAAAGGAACAGCTTTCTCTTTTGTTAAAATTTATGTACTTGTTCTGCTCTCCTTTCCCAACTTACTAAACCCATTCTTGTTTCCAAAGGCTTGTTTCCAAAGGTTCTACTTCAAATTTTTCAAACTACATATACCTGTGTACTCTCTCAACGAAAGCTAAATTCACCCATGACCCACAAAGTCAGTGATTGTGGCTACAATTAAAGTCATGAAGAGCTTCCTTACTCCTCTTCAGTAACTGGCAAACCAGTGTCCCCATGTAACTCTGTCTGACCTTCTTAGACCACATTCTATTCTTTCTTCAGGACTTCGTTTCCCAAGAAGCCTTTCTTAGTGACTATAAATAGCCATATAGCATATAATTGTACTCATGGACAGTAAAACGCTTTCAAGGGTCTCCTTGAGAGGCACCCCTGAATGGGAGGACATTTTCATTCAGGCAGGCTCACAACTTTCACTAGTTTTCCAGCTCTTTGCAAGTTATTGAACATGTGAATTACTACTTCTTCATTTATAGTAAGAGGTTAACAGTTACCTATAATCTATAAAGTTGTTTGAAGACAGATGAGAAATAATATGAAGTTTTTAAAAATTTCGGGCAGACTAATAACTACAAGTGTGTCATTTTAAGTAAGCATACTATCAATCAGCAGGATATGGAGATTTCTTGAAAATACACCCACATTAAAGACGTTTTTAAGAAACATACTATTAATACTTTGAATTGGCAACAAATGATTCAAAGACTGCTGTATATTTATGGGTATGAAAAACTATTTAACTTCCTTGTATAACTACTTAAAGATACTAAAAATTTTTTAAAAAAAGAAAAATTATTGAATTATAAAAATTGGAGATGAAGATGCTTAATTTGCTTTATGAAAAGACAGTATTTCTAAATTAAGATTTTGATCTTTACACATGTATGTTAATACCAGAAAAGTTTGTTGTCTTTAGTTGTTCAATACAGTCAGTACGGTTAATGACCTCAAAACCCATATTCATATGCTAAGTATACCTACTTATTGACTGGGGAAAAAAAGCCTGACAAAAGAGTTTATCCTGGTGATCTGCCAATATTGACAAATATACTGTTTTACCTCAAAAAAAAAAGTAGGACAAAGCAATATAGTAGACAAATTTTCTAAAAATTTTTTCCCATGAAGAAAAGTTTATTCACTCCTAACCTAATAAAGATGTATGGGGAAACTAAATCTGTAAGACATGTGCTCTTTAGTCCCCTAAATTACCTGACCTTTTTGTAGAATTTTTAAACTGCAGGGCTGCTTAACACTGATTTTTCTCTCTCCTATGATTCCAGGGGTGTTGAGGATATGAAGCTGGGGTAGAAGTAATTGTTTGGTGGATAGGCTATTACTGGGGAGTAATGAATCATTTACACAGACAATTTTAAGTTTGGGGACTTTGGCTGTATTTTTAAGTAAAAAAAAAAAAAACAGGTTAAATTACTATGGCCAGCACATGAGAATAATTTTGACTTTAGTCTTTTCCCTATCTAAGCCTCAAAATCTCTATTTTTGGTATAGGTTAGCAGTTGAGTTCCAGAGTTCCATCCAGCATTCTGGCATATGGTCTTTATTGAGGTCTTTTGGGAAATCTTGCCTCACTTTTTCTTCTCCTTTCCACAAGTGCTCAGCCTCACAGGCCTACAACAAATCCAAACACTTCTAAATTTGCTCAGAAATTTGGAGGCGCTGAAAAATGTTCCAGATGTGGGGATTCTGTATATGCAGCTGAGAAGATAATTGGAGCTGGAAAGGTACAGCGCTGTTTCACATAAGTGAATGACCCCTCTCCACCCCCTTTCTCTTCTAACTGTATCCCACTCAGGCACAGTCCTTTACTTTGAAGTAATTATTTAACTGAGTTCTCATCAGAATCATTAATGAAAGTGACACCTTTATTTGACTAATTTTTTAAACATAGAATCAGCAGCTCATGCTGTTAACTATTCAAGAGGTTGAGGTCAGGAGGATTATATAGTTCAAGGCTAGCCTCAGCAGAAAAGTCCATGAAACTCCATACAAAATAACCAGCAAAAGGCCAGGCTGGAGGTATAGTTCAGATAGTAAAACACAAACTGAGCAAGCAAGCAAAGTGAGCAGAAAGGTTCAACCCCCTATCCTCATTATAGGCAAAACCCAACAACTCATTTTCATAAGGATGTTCCTGAAGGTTAATTTTAAAAGGCTATGCTGTAAAAAATCAGGAATCTGCAGGTTATTCAATATAATCAAGATCAGGAACCTAGATGCTAATTAGGCAAAGTGGATATGAAAAAGTTATTGGCACTATCACCTCTGAATGCTTAGTTTTCAGGAAGAAACAACTTGACTCTATTTCTGTGTTGCACGAGTAGAGACTGTTCTTAGGGAAACAGGCTTCTACAGCAGAGCTCCCAGTCAGGGTCTCTGAATGGAGTTTGAAGACAGCCCTTTGTGGCTTGCCAGAATACAAATACAAGAGACCCAATTTCAATGTTCTAGCATCATGGGCTTGCTGTGACTTGATCTTCCCAAGTATTTTATTGTCACATCTAAATCATATTGCAAGAAATGGGTCTCTTGAACCTACTAACACATCTGTCTCTTCCAGCCCTGGCACAAAAACTGTTTCCGATGTGCCAAATGTGGCAAAAGTCTTGAATCAACAACTCTGACCGAGAAAGATGGTGAAATCTATTGTAAAGGTAAAGCCGATTTCTTAACACTATGCATGTGGGTATCTCATTGTATTATTTAGTAAAGTGGCATCATTTTTAAAAAGTACTCTGCAAACAGAAAAGTAGACATAGTATCATTATTTGAAAATGAGATGCAGAGTCAGAGATGCTTACAAATGAACAGAATTATAATCTTAAATTTCTGTCCATTTAAAACTTCCCACAGGGCTGGACTCTGTAGCTCAGTGGTAAGAGTACTTAACTAGAATCTGTGAAACCCTGGGCTTAATCTTCCGAACTACAAGAAAAAGAAAAGCAAACAAACTTTGAAAATTTTCCCACAGATTAACATGCCACAAAGTCTTCTTTTGACTCCATGTTTTTAAAAAGAACCTAACAGCACACAGTGAAAGACAAAATTAAGCTGCTTAGCTTTCATATTTTTAACTCAGTGGGGCCATTAGCTGAACACAGGAACCAGAATGATTGGACATACCTTCACCACATGAAGATATTCACAAGAAAGCACAATCTACCTTAAGTAATTTGGAACACCTTATGGTTTTCTTTGTTTGTGGAGATTTGTCTTAAGCAGGGCTAAAAAAAGCCTGATGATGGATTTATATTGTTCTTTTTCTTTTGTAGGATGCTATGCAAAGAACTTTGGGCCTAAGGGATTTGGCTATGGTCAAGGAGCAGGAGCTCTTGTTCATGCTCAGTAAAGGAGTAAACCCAAAACCAAGTATCACACACTGAGAATCCCTTCACAATCTAGACACAGTCTGATCACACCAAACTCTACTGTGAAATTCTACCAGCCTTAAGTACTGTACATTATGCTGTACATATAGGTTGGCTAACTTTGTATCTTTTTGATTTATTCATCCACTTTTTGGGAACCATTTCTTTTACATTTTAAATAAAATTCAGCTTGATTTGAGTGTTTGTCTTCATTGTAATTATTTTTTTTTAAGAATTGCTATGATTTCTGTTAGTAGAAAATTATTTTGTTAACAGAATTCAGCTTCATTACTCAGTTGACTCACTCTGTGAATGTGTGTATTACAGGTGATGACAGGATCTCTGTTAAGCTGGCAAGTATGCCTCAAGTGAGGGTTGCTAAGCAACAGCATCATTTCATCTCAGAACTGGCATTCAGCAACACAGCATCTCATTCTTTCCTGCCTTATTATATATTGTAGTCTGGTTACTCTTCTCTATTGCAATCTGAATTTGCATCACTTAAGAGTACTAAAAAGCAAATTTAAAAGCCTAATTTATCTCTACCAAAGCAGAATCTCTAGAGGCAGGTCAGCCACAGGAACCCTTTTAAGAAGTTTCTCAAAAATGCAGTGACCCAGAGTTGTAACACTGTTAAAACAAACCCTCAAGTTCTTTTATCAGTATTTTAACATCATTACAGGTAACTATAGAATGTGAGGCTTAACAGGACTTTTTAGAAACTCCACTTAATAGATATGACTTAACTACATCCTGAAAACTGAGGTGCTTTATTTACTTCTACTTCAGTTTCAGTTCTGTGCAAGTAACAAGTTCTTTGCAAGAAGCCAACAACCTTGCATTGTCTAGAAACATTTATTCTGGGATGCACACCAAGTGGATAATGAAGACAGAAAAGTACCTGATGGGTATGAAAACTGCTGGCCTGTTTCACTTTATAAGTCCTACAAAATACTGGGACTTAAGCTCTGGACATCTTGGAAGTTATTTTTTTTCAATACTATAATAAAAGAATTATGAATTAAGAATTGGACCATTCTAAAAATACTCTTGTTTAATACTACTGGTCCTCAAACTGAACCGCAGGAACAATGGGAATGAGTCCCTTAAAAATTCTTGCTTTTGGAAATCTTTTGTTTTAAATTTGATTGCTTTACCATACAATATTTTAGATACTGCGTTTTGACTTACACTTAAAACTCAGGCTCATATAGACCCCGAGAATCCTAAGTAACTCCAAAATTAACTCCAGAATTCATAAAGAAAAAATTACTTTTATTAAACCATTACACACATGCATACACACAGAATTGAAAATTCGAGAACTGGGAATTTTTAGAATATGACCTACTTTTGCAAATTCCTAAAGCCTATGTCACTTTATTCCTAGTTTAATAGTATATAAATATATAGGATTAATATTCATATAGGTACCACAACCAATGTGTCATCAATTTCCTCAAGTGAACTGAGTGAAATTATAAACAAGCACACACTTAAGAGTCAATATTTATTCTGATTAATATTTTACAAAATTTTGACAGATTTATATAAGGAGAACTAATTTATTAAACACTTTACAGGTTTTCCTTTCCACAAAGTAACACAGTAAGTAGCAAAATAATACTTGGCACAGTTATAAATAAACACAAATTAAAAACATCCATAGCTTAAGTATGATGCCATTTTATGTCTGTTAATATTTCAAATTAATTCCTACAAACAACAAAATGAATGAAAAACCCCAAAGAAGTAATTCTTGTTTACAGCTGAGAATTAAGTTCTTATTTCCTGAAAGAATCCAATTAATATATATCAACTATTCCCAAAAACTTCACCTCATAGCCAACTTTAGAGCTAGGTTACTAGTTCAACACAGGACCTATGAAATAATTAAGCAGACGGCATACTGCTGCATAGCTGGCTCCCAGCCATCTGACAATTCTGAGTTGTAGATTCACTGCTGCTATGAAATGGTTAGTACTAAAAGGATTCTCCTTGCAAGTATTTTCAACTAACACAATTAAAAGAGTTTTTTTTCCCCTGTTTAACTGAGAGGCATCTCTTTTGTACTGAAAAGAATATTGTACCACAAAGAAAGCACATGGTAACAACATTCTTCCTATAATTCCGAGAAAACCATCAGTCTTTTAACTGTAGATAAAAATGTGTTTGATAAAAATTACAACTGAGTCTTCATGTGAAGTGATCAAAATACAAAAAAATTAAAACAAATTCTAGTATTTTATAAATAACTTTGAATTAAAAAATTATCTAAAATTTCCCCCAATTATTAATCAAAACTATCAGAGACATTTGTACAGTTAAACCAATTTTTTTACATCCTATGACAAAATGCCACGATGCTATTGCCACCCCACACCCATCTCTTCCCTTTTCAAAAATAAAGTACATATGCCAATTTTCTAATATTAAAACACTCAGGTACACTAAGGGTCATCTTTTTGATGTCTGACTGTGGTCAAAGAAATTACTATATAAAAATGGTAGTACTTGGAAATACTGAACATCAACTATATACATTTTCACTGCTCCTCTTACTAAGGCAAGGGGCGGGTATACCACTAGATTGCTTTAATACCTGTACTTTTTGCATTTTACAGGGAATACTAATTTTTACCAAGCATCAGGCATGCAGTGAACTTGCAGAGTATAATGCCTATAAACAGCAATATTGAACATCACTGGAAGCTCATTAATATCTCCCTTTTCTTTTTTGGTTGGAAAAAATGAGATGAGCAGCATTAAAAACACTAATACACAGACACTTAAGAAAACTACTTGATAAATTATTTATATACAGATACACATTCTTTACACTGGTATAGCATCTGTCATGAGTTTGACCTCCCTCCCTGGACCCTCCCTCTACCCTATTCCCTCTCACAGGTTTCCCACAGGTTGCTGGAACCACAGTTTGCTACAGCATTTAAAGAGGACTAAACCAAGTCTCACTCTGTAAACAATACTCATGAAGCAGTGACTAGTAGTTCACCATGAGGATATGGAAATGCTGCAACAAAAACTGATCAGTGCATCACATTTAACAGCAACAAAATCTTCCTGAAATTGTTTCAGACAGCATTAACAAACTTCAGAACATTCAATACTGGAAAGAAAATTGAAATGATTTGGGGGGTTAAATTCTACTTTCTCTTAGGTTATTTAAAAACACAGGAATATACCATTAGCTTTTCTTTTATTCACATGTGCTATGTACAGAGGTCATGCTCCATCTTCAGCTTAAACTGTTGGTTTTTTTCCTACAATTTGTTTTTCAGCTTGCAGCTCAGAATTTGAAAAATATATCCATCTATCTCTATTACTGAGAATTTTGCACGAGCTTATTTTGCCTTTTGTTGGAAATCCCAACTTAAAAATTTGAAGGTTTGCACATGAAATTAAATTGTAATTTATGCTTCACTGGATATTATCTGATAATATACAATCTATGCAGTGTATCATGCACTTAGTAGGGCATTTACATCTCAACAGAATAATATGACTTAGTATTCTCATGCAAGTGCTTTATTATCAGACCATAAAACCTCAGAGCAAGGTTACTACAAATTATTTCACTGAACTAGAAATAGGCCAGCATTGCAACAGCTGATGGAAACAAAATAGCACATTTCTTTGTGAACATTATTTCCTGTGTCTTTGAAGACACATTATAGTAGATCCCTAATAAAACCACATGATTCTCATCACAGTATTCACATGTACATTCTAAAATGTACACAATATTAATCACTTTAAGACAATCTTCCTGGAATTAGATGAAATACTCCCTAGTATTGCATCATAAAGTTTATCACATAACATAAATTTAGTTTGGGTTAGAACGGAACATTTCTGATCAGTATGCCATGTCTATCAACAGAGTAAGTGCACTCTGTGAAAAATGTTATGAGAACAAAAACCAAAGGTTGAGTATGTTGTGAATTCCCACATTAAGAACCATTAAACTTATTTTTATGATCTTTATTCTTTCCAGAAGTGGCAGTGTGTTCTGTCCATGTTTACTTTTATTAATAAAAGTGTTGAAAAAAAAAAGACTGTAAAATTCACTGTTAGCTCTACACATAGCATGCTATTGTTCCAAGGATGTGGATTTGAGTGTGAGAGACACAGACAGACACAATTTTCAGGCACCACTCAGCAATATGCTTCATTGGATAAAGATGTTGCTAGACAAGTTGGTACCCAGATCCTGATATTTGGTCATATTCTATTGTATATTGTCTGGTCCAGTCCACGATAACAGGACGAAAGAGGCCACAGCATCGAAATTCAAAGAAGTCTATAACATTCCTTACACATCCATGGCTAAAAACAACCCCCAATGGAAAAGAATTAATTAGTACAAATACTTTAATTCAAATTTAATATAAAAATAACTCAATTTTCAATATAATTTATGTTAACATTTTTTTCCTAAACTTAAAAAACTGGTTGTTTTGGATAAGGAGACAAATGATGTCTCTATAACTGAGGAAGAAAATATAAGACAAACATAACATGAACTGAGCAGTGTCTCTAAAAGTAACAATCTGAAGAAATACCAGTTTTACACCTTGTGTAATTATTATACCTGCTAAATAATTCTTTATTTTTATTTAAAGATTTGCTAGCTTCCCAGAAGTGTGCAATAATTTATACTACAAAAGTCTGAGAGTGAAGAGTATTGGGATTTCATATAATTATGACACTACTATTTACCATTTCTAAGCATTAAACTAAATGTAAATTCTCAAAATATACATGAACCGATACCATAAACATGTACAGTTAATGAGATTAATTCTTTGTTATAGTATTAAGAACTAACCAATTCTACCTTCAGCAAAAATTTGAAATTTAGTAACTTTTTGGGGGGCACAAAGGGGGTGGGCTGGTCCTGGAACTTGAACTGGACATCTACCACTTGAGCCACAGCGCCACTTCTGGCTTTTTCTGAGTAGTTTATTGGAGATAAGAGTCTCATAGACTTTCCTGCCTGGGCTGGCTTTGAACCTCAATCCTCAGATCTCAGCCTCCTGAGAGGGAGGCTGAAGCAAATTTGATTTCAAACCCGCTCAAGAAAGTTAATGAAGCTGGGAGCCAGTGGCTCAATCCTGTAATCCTAGCTACTAGGCAGGCACTAAGACAGGAGCTCACTTTTTGCCTGGGTTGG